TCCATAAGTGCTCAGTCTATCAACTGCTGACGTGGTATACGGCACATCTCGTATTCCATGGGAGGAGATGCACAGTTCCGTATCAAGGTCTTGGGTCTTGATGATACTAGAGCTTTGTTAGCATGAGCCCCTTGACTGCAAGAAATACGTACCATATCTCGAGTCCATTGGGGGCAAATAGCTCCATATTGGCCTTTGATAAGGCCTTTGAAACTATCGATGCATGGCCGAACGCCGTAGCAAGACCAATGCCGGCTTGACCTGCCATAGAGCCGATACTGGCAATACCAGGCCTGACGGATAGATTGTCAATTTAGAATGCCGTACAGATTGAACTAAGTAACTTACAGAAACCACCCGGCAATGTTGGCACCCTTTTGGAACAATTGTGCCTCTGGGTTGGGTGTACGGGCGAGATTGATCTCATCCACGACTTGAAGGAATTGATCACGTGTGATACCGTACCTGCTGATTTCGGAGCTATAACCACGTAGGAAGGGCTCTCCTGCTCCGAATGCGATCTGTGGGAGAATCAGAGGTCGGAACTCGGTGTTTTGGAAGGACGGATGGCCGGAGGAGAATCGTGTATCCGTAGACATGGTCTCAGGGGAAGAGAAACTATATGATGGATGTTGATAGACATTGCTTTGTGAAGGCATCTGGCTGCTTCTAGGTCGACTGCTCAAGGGTGCATTGTAAGCGTGCAGTGAATATGAGGGCGGTTCGTCGTTATAGCGACATCCAGGCTGTTGCTGGCTGCTGAAGCCATCTCGAGCAGAGAAATTCTCTGTCTCAGGCGACCGATCCTTCGACTTCTGGTTATGATTTTGCCTTGTGCGTGGCTGACCTCCTTGAGACGAGGATGGAATTGCATCATAAGGCGACGGATTTCGTCGTGTTGATGGCATTTGCCTTGAATTATAAGGGGACCTCTTTTTCTGACTACTCTCTGCTGCAGCGTCTACGGCTGAGCCGATCGTGTCTCTTAGAATGCCCATGATGCGTTTGTGTTTATAAGTGGTCTGGGAATTAGGAGTAAAATGAAGTATTCTGGTATCGCTGAGAAGATAGCCAAGGTCAAGACATATATATACGTAAATGATGACTGAATATCATCAATATCTATTGAAGTGCCAAAATCAGTAAGTCTATCGACATATTTTTGGTCGACTCATACACGCTTTCACCATTAGGGCTGAGCATTCAGAGGGTAAGCGTTAGACCAATGATCGGATTTGCCGATTACCGTGATGCTTGTCTGGTAGCGTCGAAATGGCCACCGAATCGAGTAAGTCAGACGATGATTCGCAGCAGTCGAAAGGCAACACAGAGGTAAAACGACTTTTATTCGCAAATAAGCTCCATAAAGTCTCAGGCAAACTCTAAACTTTGTCACTCGGCATTTGATCGTCAATCGAGGATGCACAGCCCTACGACAACCCTGGTAAGTAATGCTATTCACTTGAATGACTACATATCACCTCTTGCGCTTTCTGACTGTCGAACAAGTGGCGGCAGAGGCCTCTATCAAGTCGCCTGCTGCTTGTCCTGAGGGTTTGTCCAACTCTAGCCATATCTGGTGCCATTTCTGGGACAGGCATGGACTTGGGTCCCTCCAAGAGGACGCGTTCGTTTCAACCAATAATGAACAGCATTGCAACTCGTGAAGCGCGACGCGACCTTTTCGCGCCATTGCTTATCTTATCTTATCTTTTGAGGTCACCCTGTCAACAAAGGAAGGCAATTGCACGCAAATATTTTACTTCACAAGTCGAACAAAGAATCGTCAAAGTGCTGTTGGCAGGGCATTCAGCCAATAGCCCGGAAAGCGGAAAGTGGGTTCGCTTAAAGACTTGGCTGTCATTAGGATCCCCGTCAATCAATCTCTCTCTACATGTTCTGCTCCTGACACCATCGTTATCTTAACCTTATCGTGGTGTTGGACTTTGCAAGCAATAACTTACCCTGAACAACATTTAACATTTAATAATACTCCCAACAAACATTCCAATATAATGGTAAGTACAAGAGAAACCTGTAGTAATTCTTCTCGTATTAACTTTAAGTATCCGGCGTCAAAAATACTAACAATCATGACTGTTGAGCTTGTGTCTTAACAGATAATGCTCGTTTCTACACCAAACTCGATCTTATCTGTTAGCGTCATAACATTTCCCAAAGCTCTCACTGAAGCAGCCAACTTTCAAAAAATGAGTTGTTGCGTAGCAATTCAAAAGATATCCGCCCATTTGGGTGACATAAAATGGGAAATTCGATCTATGATGTCCTGGCTCTTGTAGAGTCTTCTTGATGTTTAGGGATAATAATGTATTGTTGGGCTTCTAATTTCTCTTCAAAAGTTGTTGCTCTATGCCATCAAATGGTCATCATAGCTGCTTCAACTGTACATTGGAGGGCTTTCAGAAATCGGAATGATCAAGATGAAAGTCCTACATTACCCTTGCTATACTGTACCACAGACAATTGGCTTCTGAATACTAAGACACTCTGACAGACGGCTTGGCACTACGCAGAGTGGCCTGGTGAACGAGTCTTTTGAGCAGCTCATGTGACAAACCTTCCATTAACGAGACCTTTTTGGCCACAAAATCAAAGCCAGTAAAAACTTTTCAGTCTGGACCGTTGATCGAGCAAACGGTCTCACGGTTGAGCCACCAGACATCAAAGTTCGAGTCCCAGGATCACCGCCCCGTGCATCCACCCAAAGACGAGGGCATCGTCTCGGGAACGCCTCTCAGGTCATCGAATCCTGTTGATTGGAATCCAAAGAAGCGGAAAGTCGGCCTACCCAGGCTCTGGGCGCCAAGATCTTACCCCAGAGAGGCCCAGCGCATGCTTGCATGTTCCAAAGTCCTGCAAGCGCTTCCACACCATTATGAGAATAGATCGTTGTATTTATACTCATTTGAGAAAGGCCACTTGGAGATCTACGCGGCTATGTCGGCAAGCCTTCGCTTGGCTGTAGCTAAGCTACTGCCGAGTAGCTGATGCTTTTGACATTGCTACGCTGCTGTTTAGTGAGCTGGATGCTGCCTTTCACCAAAGCGCTTGATCATCATAAGCATCACGAGAATTGCAATCACCAAAATGCCCATTGCCGTTTGAAGGTCGTCTGATTCAAGTTCAAGACGCTGAGAAATGATAGTTAGACTGGAGACTGATACGAGATTAACGTGACTCTGAGTCAAGTCTCGAATGCTTCGGCAAGCACCGAGATTGTACAAATTTCGCTATTTCTGACAAGTTCGAGATCAACCTGAGGCACAGTCGGACTAGAACTTTAACCCTAGGACTCATGAGCCCAGTCACATCATGGGATGATAAGATAAGGTGCGGAATGGTAGCATAGTTGCCCAATAGAGATCTCCATGAGCCCCCAAAGACACAAATCTGATGCTTGGAAATAGTCTGTTCATAATCTAGAATCGGCCAAGCAGGCCAAGAGAGGCATCCTTGACGGGATATCGGCCCAGCCTCTGGGCGGCCTGGGCAGCCGAGTTGTTCTGGGTCAGTCATCAACCCTAACCCACGAAATGACCTCTTTTCGGTGCGGACCAGCCGCTGTCAGTCACGCTGTATGAAAAGCAGTGTCCTCAGGTGAAAATTCGGAATGTCATCCCATCAAGCCGATCAACAGCCAGCGATGGAAAACCGTTACCGCTGCTCGTCAAAGGCGCTGCCGCCTTGATCTGTCAAACGATTTCGGAGGCTAACCTTGTTGAGCCCGGCAAGGTGGTCTTCGACTTCCGTCGATTTATTCGTTCATTGGTAAACATGCGGACCCATTCGGCACCTGTGACTGGAGAAGAGAAAAGCTTACCCCAGATCATTGCGGAGGGTTACAATCCCGCTTTTTCCGCGTGTGTCTTTTCTTATTTGGGGATCAAAGTGCCATGGGGTCGGAGGAGTCGGGCCGTAAACGAGACTATTATTCGTGGAGAATTGGTCGCTTGGAATGCGGGGGAGTAAGCTTGTCTTGACCATGAAAGCTCATGAAATAAGCACTGCTTTGACCAACTTTATCGTGAGATCGAAGGTCACGAAGATCAAGCCGATAAACTTGTGGAGAAAAGAGTCATCATCTGGGGCATGAACCCTTTAGAATACTCGTAAATCTTGAAAATAAACTCTAATGGCATTAAAGGACACCGCAGATTCCCCTAATCTCATCCCATTCATAGTAGGCTCGCGGTCTGGAACTTTTGTCCACTTTCAGCAGCACGGATCTCGACCAATCACTCAACGGGATCCCGGGCCGGCCAACACAAAGAGTTCCTCCTTACCTTAAACAGAATAAGCACGAGGGGACAGTAATTTTGGCCTCCACGTCTAACCCGCATCCCTCTCCACGGGGAATCGTAAGAGCCACCTCGGCTGCCCGCAAAGTGAGCCGACCAAATTCCAGGGAAGACAGAGCACGTTAGATGCAAGGCGGACCACGGAGCCGACAGAAGCACGATCACTACTCATCGAATGAGCGAGTGTTAAGCGCCGCTGGCACACCCGAATCTGGGCCCAGCGCACATGACTGCATTATCGGATAGCGAATCAGACTCTTGGTGCGTCAACACCGAATTCTCGCTTCCCCATCCCACGTGAATTTCGCGTTCAGGGATAGGACTTGGCCGTTCTGGTCAGATCAGTCTAGGCCGTAAGAGTGTAGCACTCGATTCAGCTCTCGGAAGGTTGACCGTCGATCCGTGGCCCTGGACAGACAGACTTAGCAGCCCTTTCAGATCTTTGTGGGTTGTATCGGATCTGCAGACCGTGTTCCATTGTGTTGCAGTTGGTAGGCACACGGACGGACTCAATTTGCGATGCAGATGAACACCACCATCCCCAGCATCTCCAAATTTAATATATATTCCCTTGATCCATCTTGGACCCCAGAGTCTTGTTTCCTGCTCAGACCCATCTCAATCATCAATCAACAAAGCACCCAGAAAGGTAATTCACAGCGTCGGCGCTGAAACATCAACATGGGATCCGAATCCATTCACAGCGATAGGCACGATGAGAAGAACGTGCGTCTCTCTCCGCTCAGCAACGCAATTGAGCAAATACTGACTTTGGGGTAGCCGAAACACGAGGTCGCCATCGTCAAGACGGCCATTGGTGACGAGGCCTTCCAACAGGCCATGATCAAGGAGCCCCCGCCTAAGATGGCAGCTCCTATCCTTATCTTCGCCAGTATGGTAGCCTTCTGCTGCTCTACCGCCAACGGTTACGATGGTTCGCTTTTCGGTACACTCCTCGCCAACGATGATTTCAAGAAGTTCTTTGATGTCGATAACAAGGGTATCGGTGCTGGTATGTCTTCGTCGGTTCGCCCCAAAAACTGATCGTGAAACTGATATGTCTTTCACCGTTAGGTATCGTCACTTCCATGTACCAGATCGGTTCCGTCGTCGCGATCCCCGCTGTTGGTCCTGCTATTGACACCTGGGGTCGTCGGGCTGGCATGGCAATTGGCTCGTTCATCATCATCATCGGCATCATTATCCAGATTGCCTGTATCAAGACCGCCAGTGTCGATCAGTTCATGGCCGGTCGCTTCTTCCTCGGTTTTGGTGTCTCCATCGCCGCCGCAGCTGGTCCTACCTATGTCGTCGAGGTCTCTCACCCTGCTCACCGAGGTATCATCACTGGATTGTACAACGTGATGTGGCCTGTTGGTGCTCTCGTTGCCAGCAGCGCTGCCCTCGGAGGCTTGGACTACGAGGGAACTAACACCTCTTGGATGATCTCTGTCTGTCTCCAGCTCATGTTCCCCTGTGTTATCTTCTTCTTCTCCATGCTACTGCCCGAGTCACCTCGATGGTTGTACACCCGCGGCAAGAAGGAACTTGCGACTGAGAATCTTGTGAAACTCCACGGACATGGAAACCCTGACAGCGAATGGGTGAAGCTCCAGCTCCACGAGTATGAGGAGTACCTTGAGATGGACGGCAGTGACAAGCGATGGTGGGATTACCGCGCCCTGTTCCGCAACAAGGCTTCCATCTACCGACTGACTTGCAACTGTCTCGTCTCCCTGTTCGGCCAATGGGCAGGAAACAGCATTGTCTCCTATTACCTGAGCGCTTTCCTCGATACTGCCGGCATCAAGGGTGCCAAGACGCAGACCAAGGTGGCTTTGGGCATGAATGCCGTCCAGATCGTCTTCGCTTCAATTGGTGCTGGATTTACTGATACTGTTGGCCGTCGCCCCATGCTTCTCGTTGTCAACCTTGTTTGCGCTCTGTGCTGGGTCGGCGTGACTGTTCCCGCCTCTATCGCCAACATTACTGATCTCGACGATAAGGCGCAGACAGACGCTGTCACCGGCCCTGTCAGCAAGGCCATCCTGGCCTGGGTTTACCTTTTCCAGATCTTCTACTCCGTTGGTTGGACTCCCCTCCAGGCCCTCTACCCCGTCGAGGTACTCAGTTACGAGATCCGAGCCAAGGGTATGGCTTTCAGCTCTCTCTTCACCAACGCTGCCATGCTTGTCATGCAGTTCGGTATCCCCGTCGCTCTCAAGAACATTGCCTGGAAGACCTACATTGTCTTCTGCGTCTGGTGTGTCTGCCAGTCCATCATTCTTTACTTCCTCGTGCCCGAGACCAAGAACCGAACTCTCGAAGAACTCGACCACATCTTCTCGTCCAGCAACCCAGTCAAGACCTCTACCCAGAAGAAGCTCTTCGAGGCCGATGCCAATGCCAACATTGTCCACATCGAGCCTGCAGTTGCCGATTCCAGCAAGGCTTAAGCGTTGGACAGTTCTTCTTTGACAAGTAAGGCTGTTATAGTTTGCATACCATTGCATTCCATTTGCAGAAATTGTAGTTCAGATTGGGTGAAGTAGGATATGAATAGCTGTCAACGAGGTGTATGCTCAAGTTAATTAGTCTAAATAAATTCGATGGTGGCAATACTGATACTTGCCTTTCGACCGTGATAGTGTCCCTTTGATTGCAATCCTGTATCAGCATCAGCCTGTGGCAGCAGATATTTGCTGGCTTTCTCGTTTGGTTTGGCAAATCCTTGGCATTTACTGCTAAGAATTGAAACACCGAGTACCTGCTCGTAGACAACGTGCCATTTGAGCTTGCTCCAATCTGAAGGCCAAATGCCGTACGACAAATAGAACTGTCAGCACACAATGATGAGCGTTGTGTTGGTTTTACAAACGTTCCGCGCTTTGGATTGGGAATTGCCTTGAAGTTAACTCCGGCTTCTTCAACTGTTAACTGGAACCAGCACGGCATTGGATGTTTCCAGTTAATGCCGGAAAACTAACGCCACGACGAAAGACATTGACTGACGATGGGCTGTGAGGCTTGTTGTAGGAAGCGAAGAGTTGGGCACTCCGTTTTCATTCCGATCGAAGTGCGAACAGGTTAGCCAAGCCTGTCCCATCCCCAAACCATTCACGAAGTCTGAATTCAGAAATGAAGAGATTTTTCCAGGAATACAACAGAAGCTGCCAGGTGCAAGTCAGATTCGAATTGCAGAGCGAAGCCGATGTGAAAAACTAACCACGATAATCAGAACGATTTTTGTGGTGAACAAGCATCAGGATGGTATCTAAATGTCGTCGCCCCACCGGATAATTACAACTAAAGTTCCTGAAGGGCCCCGAATCAAAGTCTAGGCCCTCGAGCCTTTTTAACCAGCAACCTCGCTTAGAAATTGACGGAACCAACATACATATATATTTACAGGGGTTATCAGATGACCTTGCACGAGAGACACGACCAACAACAATAAAGCAAATCGGGCCATTACTCCCTGTCGAACTAGTAATGCATGCTGAAATTATTGGCAGGAGGTTATTCAACTCTGTTGATCTTTCAAGACTTTTGCGCAAGGTTAAACGGGTTATGCGGCGATATGCCAAGGAGCCCCTTTCAGCCATGGGAAAGGAAGGTGAAGGACGCACAAGTTATTGAACTAGAAATCAAGACCGAATTAGCTATTGCAAACAATATGCTAATCATAGCTGATAGATTGATTGTTTCTGTCTTTGACAAAAGTAAAAGAGAATCAAGCGGGCTCTCGACATCCAATGTTCAGGCCTTCGCAGAGACTAATCCACCATATACTGAGCGTTCTGACCATCTGATACACAGTGTTTCAGTAACTTAAGAGGTGAAAAGGCTGCCTGGATTTAACCGTCGAAGTGGCAATACCGTCAGTCTGTGCCTCTTTGTATCCACTTATGGTTGGCGAGACAGTAGGGTTGACGGGCATACCGCGAGCGATAAAGCTGTTGGTTTCGAGTTGGCCAAGACATATCGCCACCTGATGGCATGACTGATATCTCAACATAGTTAACAGCGCGCCAAAGCCCTGGTAACGCGCCCCTCGCTGTTTAGGTCCAGAACAATGATTTCGTAGAAGCCTATGCCGAGGTTCCGTAACCTTCGGCCAACATCAGTGAAGCTATTCAGAAACCCACATATGTCTTACGTTGAACCTTGCATGGCAGGGGCTAATGGTTATGGAGTGCATGGGCTGTTTTATGGCACAGTCGGCCGCCATGTTCAAGAGTCTAACTTGAGTCATTGAAGAATTATGTCACGATAGTTCACGTACGTTAACAGGAACACGTGGTCATCCAATCTACAGTTTCTCTATATAAGGGATCGAAAACCTCTGTATATTTGTTTGTTTCTCCAGATTCTTCATCATCTCCCGATCTAACTTACCAATTACAACGAACCTTCCACAATTCGACACTTGGTCTCTCTACAAGTCGGTGATCTCACTACATTTATTCACTGACACAACTCAAGGCTCACAAACTCTAAAGTCACCATGAAGTTCACTCTTCCAACCGCGGCCTTCGCACTTTCCTTGCTCGGTGCCGCTGATGGCGCCCGCATCGAGACCTATGTCACCACGGGACCGCAGATTCTCACGAATTATAGCTCTGCTTATTTCGGCGACGACGGCGAGATGTACCCCCTCGGTGGTGGTTTCAGAGACGGCTGTCGAAAGACCAAGTATGATTGGGTCAAGGAGATCTGTATTGACGACGGCAAGCTGAGGGCGCACATTGTGTATTCGGGTGGTACAAAGAAATGTTTCAAGAGAACCAAGGACTCATCTAAGGCTTGTGGTGGCTCCGCGGGTTGCTGGCAAGGCGTGTGCCAGAGATGCTGGACGTACGTCTACACTGAAACAAAGTGCACCTGGTGAGATCGAAGTAACACCATAGTCGGTCCCTACTGCCAGCTTTCCTGTTCGCATTGGAGGATTCTTATTTTGGGCTATTCTTCATCCTGTCATTACGGTAGTATTTATTGTCAAATTCGATTTGTCTGTGCAATCACTGTCACTGGTCTACTGGTCCTGTAGCTTGTCTAGAGTCAAAGTGTTAATTCTCGAGCTCGGTTGTTTCATCACTGAGTCTGCTTTCTTATCAAATATGCTGTCATATCCGTGAGGTCTTCGGTGCTATTCCAGTTGACTTAGCTACCAGGACTGCAGTAGTAATCGTGGCATAGTATGGTCAAGCTAGCTTTATGACTGGATGGGCAAACTATCATGCCATATCATATACAAGGCAACATTTGCAGATAAGACACTGCATGCAAAATAGAGAAAGATGCTTTGGCTATAGTCTTGAGTATTTTGCTTGCAAGGCCGTCCAAATACTCACCATCTCGGTTTTCCTATCGGCAAAGCGATGCAACAACTAGTGAGGCATTTTGGTGTAATGTTTAAGTTGTGAGCTAGATGTGGCATTTGTAGTTGAGATTCGTGGCTTAGGGCTGATATTAACAGAGAAAACATAGTATCTTTTCGGCGTCATATGTAATAATAACCTTTGTAACTCTAATAAGAAGTGAACTAAAGAATAATAAATATCTCACTACGTTCAGATCACTTACTCTTACGTATCACCATCACCGCAACAGCTCACATCACGCGCCTCACACGCAACTGCTCACAGTATCACTCCAAAGGAAGCCATGAAGATTAGGCCGAGAGGTTTAAGAAGGGGGTAATGTATATAGTAGCGGAAGTGCAACGCGTTAGATCCGTGTTTCAATAATAATTTCAAAATCGATAGAAAGCGGAGACCTGGCAAGAGTTCTACCCTCGAATGGAACAATATATACTAATTTCCTGAAACAGGTGCTTGCAAGTGTTTATTTAGATAGACTACTGCTTCCTTTGACCCGAAAATGTACACGGAATGGAATAATGTCTAGATCTGATGTACATGTTGACTCAGCGTCCTGTTTGTGTTATGCTTTACATGTAAGAAGCGTCGTAGAAGCCCTTGGAAGCGTAATTTCCAGACAGGACAGTAGAGATAGAGACTGCATTGGAGAGTTTGGTGGCAAAAGAGGCGCGCTGGCCCTGAGAACCAGCACCAGTGTTGCCGTACTCTCCGAACAGTACGTGAGCAGTGTTCTCCTCACCAGTGTTCCAGATAGACCAGCCCTTAGAGTTGATGACAGAGCTCATGTTAGTCTTCTGGAAGACAACACGCGCATACTGGCGCCAAGGTCGACCAAGGTAGTATGCACCGTTGGCGACGGCGTTGCCGGCAGCTGCGGCAATGTTGCAGTTGTTGAAGACGTAGTAAGACATGTTGGAGTCAGAGTCACGGCCGTTGGCTGTTTGGAGTTAGTGATTGTGCTTGATGCTTAAATGAAGATTGGCATACCAGTGACGTAGCCAACTGAGGCGGCGACGACTCGAAGATCAATCTTCTCGAACCAGGCGGAAGCAGTCTGGCCGAAAATGAAGTCGGTAGCACCCTGAATAAGGCATTTGGAGTACAGCTGATAGCCCTGCTGGGCAAGAAGAGTATCTTGGAATCCAGTGAGAGCGACACCGCTACGGCTAGTTAGTAATGATCATGGTCGAGTTGCTAGTTGACTTACTAGTATCCACTGTCGGCATAGGCGCTCAAAGCAACAGCTTGGCTACCCTGTCCATAAGTGTTGGCAACATTGACGTTGTAGAGCTTGAAATTGGCAGCCTTGACACGGAGGGTAGCAGTGCCGTCGTTGTTGAGACCATCAGCCTGGCTCTTCTTCGCTGTGATGGTGACCTTGTTGCCGCTATATCCGCTAGTGTCGGTAGTGTAGCCGTAGATAGACAGTTGAGCGCTGCGGCTAGGAACAAGGACCTGCTCATTGTAGGTACCCTGGTCAATGAAGATGCATTGCTTTCCAGAGGCCGTCGTTGAGAGAGAGTTGACTGCAGCTTGAACAGTACCGAATTGACCGCTTCCAGGTGACTTCTTGACAGTTATACATCCGGAGGGCGCAGTTGTTCGACTAGCAGCGAATGCCGCTGTGACGAAACTCAATGTTGTAAGGAACTTCATGGTGATGTATGTAGATCAGGATAACCGAAACAAGCCAATGATGAGAAACAGAACCACCGGGAAAATGTCAGTGTCAAGAGTCGGAGTATTTATGTAGCATTTTTAAACTTCATCTCTTAGTAAATCATCATATAACTCCAACTCTATACTCCAGACACAGCTCAGGGATGTTTCTTGTGATTGGTGGAGAATAGTTTGTTCATTAAAAATACGAGGCCCCTGCTCCAGAATCATCCGGTTTGTCCGGAGCGTAAGCTTCCGCTGTTGGTTTCAGCCGTTTCAAGTCGATTGCCATGCCCCCAAAGTGACTAACTCGAATGAGTGTAGCAGCCCATTTCGATCGGATTGTGGCCAGATCTAGATGCAGTTTGAGCTGCTTCGTTTGGTGGATTAATCGTTTGCCATGTTTTCATCCCGCAGATGAGAAAATCCGGGGTACACGCGTTTCATGCAGCTGCAGAGCCCTTCATTTCCTCCACTAGCTAGCTAGTGGACACTTGCAAATGAAGGCCGACATCCATGCTCAAAGTCAAAATCAAGTACCGTTTAATGTTGCATTGAACACAATTAATGACCAAGGATAACGATACGAAACTCAAATAAACACGTAATACAAAGCATGCACTCCCGCGGGCCGAAGTGAAATGTTGACAGAGAAGTAAGTGAATTGATCTCTGGACACAGAGTCTAAAGTAGACTATGGATACATGTAATCGCCCCCAACAGCCCAGGACCGCCATCCAGAGAATCTCCATCCAGTCGTCGATATTACATACGTGTCTATCGTGCACTATTTTAGGCCGAGTATGCGGCAACACCCATAAAACCATAAGATCATCAAAAGGTAAGAATGTTAAGCATCCACTGCACAGAAACAGACATCCCACTGAGAAAGTAAGAAGGTAAGGTGCGGGTGCCCCAGAGCAACGGAGTGGAAGTAGAAGAACGAAGCGAAGATCATGCGGCTACATAGTCACTAATCGTTTCTGTGAGAATGTCAGTGGGGGTTGATGCGGATAGGACGGGAGTACTAACAGAGGAGAGCAATAGCACCCATGGCAAGGAGAGCCAGGACGGGGCGGACACGCTCACCACCAGAAACGATGACAGCATCATCACCAGAAGGCTTGCCACCCTTCTTGCAAACGGTGGGCTCAACATAGGGAGTGACGTCCCAAGGGTTGAAGCCGAGGCAGGTGGTGTAGGCAGTCTTGCAGGTCTCAATGATGGCACCAGAAGCGTCGCAGCAGGCCTTGTAGACAGTGGTGCACTCAACAGCGCACTCCTCATCGGAGCCAGACTTGCTGGAGCTGTCGGACTTGGAGCCAGAGGCCTTTGAGGAGTCATCGGACTTGCTGGAGCTGGAGCTGGAGCCACCGTTGTTGTTTCCCTTGGAGCCGGAGTCCTCTCCGTGCTTGCAAACTGTGGGCTTGACGAAGGGGGTAACATCCCAAGGGTTGTAGCCGAGGCAGACGGTGTACTCCTTCTTGCAGACCTCGATGTCGTGACCGTCAATGGAGCAGCACTCATCGTAGACAGTGGTGCACTGGACACAGCACTCCTCCTCGGAGCTGGAGCTGGAGCTGGAGCTGGAGCTGGAACCGCCGTTGTTGTTTCCCTTGGAACCAGAGTCCTCGCCGTGCTTGCAAACTGTGGGCTTGACGAAGGGGGTAACATCCCAAGGGTTGTAGCCGAGGCAGACGGTGTACTTCTCCTTGCAGATAGCAATATCGGCACCAGGGACGGCACAGCACTCATCATAGACAGTAGTGCACTGAAAGCAGCACTCATCAACAGTAACCTCAACCTCCTTGTGGCCGTAGTCGGTCTTGCCAGAGTCTCCGTGCTTGCAGACAGTAGGCTTCTCCCAAGGGACAACAATGAAGGGGTTGTATCCAAGGCAGATGGTGTACTCCTTCTTGCAGACCTCAATATCAGAGCCGGGGACCTTGCAGCACTCGTCGTAGATAGTAGTGCACTCGATGCAGCATTGCTCAACATCGACCTCGACATCGGAGTGCTCGTAGGACTTGTCGTACTTGGAGTTGTAATAAGACTCGCCGTGCTTGGACTCGTACTCCTTGTAGTAAGACTCCTCGTGCTTGCAGACAGAAGGAACCTCCCAAGGGAGGATGATGAAGGGGTTGTATCCGAGGCAGACAGTGTACTTCTCCTTGCAGATAGCGATATCAGCACCGGGAACAGCGCAGCACTCATCGTAGATGGTGGTGCACTCAAGGCAGCAGTATTCGGGAGTGTAGTAACCAGCGTGGTAGCCAGAGTGGGAAGAAGAGGTGGAGTGGGAAGAAGAAGAGTAGTAGTAGCCGTACTTCTCCTCGAAGTAAGAGCTGGTGTACTTGGACTCATACTCAATGTAGTAGCTCTTGTCGTGCTTGCAGCTGGTGGGCTTGACGAAGATAGACTCGTAGGGGTTGTAGCCGAGACAGATGGTGTACTGGTTCTTACAGACCTGGATGTCGGAGCCCTCAATGCTGCAGCAGTCCTCATACACGGTGGTACACTCGATGCTGCAGATCTCGGGGGTGAAGCAGGTTCCAGTGCCGCACTCACACTTGCCAGGGACGGGAGACTTGGTAGGTCTGGCCATGGTGGTCATGGTGGTGGTGAAAGTGACGGGCAGCTGGGAGGTGACCGAGGTGGGGACGTTCATGCCACCAGAGGTGGAGAAGTCGGTGGTAGAAGGTCCAGGAGTAGTCGTCTGGGCGAGGCCAGTCGAGCTCAAGGCCACGGTCAAAAGACCAGACAAGCCGAGGGAGTATCTCATCTTGGGCGATGTATATCAGAAGAAAAGAGAGTGATTAAGTTGGATGTAAAACAGAAAACAAAAAGAGTGAATGTGAAAACTGGGTTAGTAAAGAGTGGCAGACGCAACCGGCTGTGAAAGAGTGATGCTGGCTGAGCTGAAGAAGTTGATTTGGAGAGATGTCTACAGCCTTCTTATACCCAGATTCTCACGAGAGAGCTTCCTCGGAAATGTTCATGTTAGCTTCGTTTAGAGCCTCGATGGACTTGTCCGGAATCCGGGGTAGGGCCGCTGGAATTGGGGAAATTCGATATTTCCCCAGATTAGAGTGCCAGCCTGTCAAAGGCATCAAAGTTCAAGGTTCAAGGGGTCAAAGATTTACCTCACGCGAGACATGTCCCTTGAGAATGTTTCAGATGCATATTTGATAGGTTTCATCAGATGATCTCGTATTTGAACGAAGAATGCTGCAGTGCCAAGAAGCTATTGAAGGGAGGTCATGTTATTGCCGGCTTGGCGAGTAGAAGTATTGGTGTTTGTCTGAACCACATATTCCATACACAATATCATGCCCAGATTTTCTCCTTCAATTCTTTCTTGGCCCAAAAATCTCCGAAAAGGTTCCGTCGTTACAACTGATTTACAGTCGGGGACAAGTGTCGGCTCATGAGCTGAAGGGATAGTAAACACAATGTCTCGGACCCTCGGCTTAGTCACAACCTTCCCTCCACAATTGCCCAATCACGGCTTTTGAACCATCAAAACATCATTTCTGGGGTGGAATCTGACTTGCCGACGGCCGATGCCCAGACTGCTTGGCTCGCAAACTGAAGCAATCCAACGTATAAGCTTTCTTTAAGCTTGAACCAAGATTCCTAGACCCCTTTCATATAAGCGAGGACCACGATAGGGCGTAGTGAGACCCAGCCATCTTATTCCAATATCAGTTGACTTTGAGATTGTTGTTTCTTTGTGAGAACGGGGTCGTCAAAGCGTGTCTAATTTTTGAGAGAAATCGACTGAACCAGAAGCTCAAGACATTGAAGAGCTGAAAGACAACGCGCCCAAATTCAGCAAAGATACCATATTAATCATAATATTAGGTTTCTAGACTGTCGACCGCCAGCCGGCGTCCGGAACTCGCGGGGAAATTTGTGGCACTAGATTCATATCAAAGGTCTCAGGTGATCCTTGAGAATGTCTCACTACCGCCCGAGTCTCGTAAATAAACAACTATGCATTTTTTTAACCTTGTATACCTTATCCGTCTAGCTTTGCATGCCAGCCTTAACGCAGAAATAACACGTCGCGCCACTAGCTAGACGAGACCAACAGATGCCCCGGACCGGGTCGGAGAAATGAGCATGAGTCGGAACGTCGCGATCGCGACCATCGGGTGACCAATAAATAGGGGGAGCGGAATGAAGCCTATTGTTTCGGCTTGTGTTTTGGCATGATTAGGGTAGTATTGAGTCTGGTGTCATGAGTGTTGAGGCCAGTTGTAGATCCATATCCCATTCTGATAGTCGCTTGCCGAACATGAGGTTGTAGAGGACATAGCGAACAAGATGGTTCAACCCAAGCCTTTCAAGTCCGCCGGCATCTTCAACCATCTTCATAGCGCCTAGTACATGTTTTGCAGCGACAAGATGATCTCCACAAGTAATCTACATGGTCAGCATGCCATGTTAACTATCTCTGCCCTATCGATAAACATACCTCATCGAGGGCGAGAACTGTGGTCATTGCAACTGCATTCCGACGCGATGGAAGACTCCGTGATGAAAGCCCCTTCCGAAGGCTTTGTAAATAGTACTGCTTGTACTGAATGGCCAACAATGCATACTCATCGCGGAGCTCAACCTCAGCCAAGTATCGACATGCTGCAAGCAGACAGCCTCGTAGAAGAACCGGATCAGTAGAAACGAAGAAGATCCAGTTACTTCTGATCTCAGCTGCTTGTTCTGCAATGTCCATGATTATAGGGCAATGTGCAATTTGGGAGGGCAAGACAGTTTGAAGATCTACGCGGGGATGGTTAGAAAAAGCTACCCTACGCCAATCATGCCAAACTCACATTGACTAAAGATGGAGTGCTCAAATGCCGAGAGCGATTTAATGAAATAAATTATGTTACTTGGTTGAAAATCGCCCGGTAACGTGAAAGGCACAGATGTTAATTCTTGTAGTTTGCTGGTTAATGGCTCGGTAAGTTTTGGCGGCAGAATGTTTCGTTGATCGTGGGTTTTTGCACTCTGTTGTCTCTTTTGGTCATGATACTCGGCTATTGTCTGTTTCCGTGTCTGTGCATGGGCGACGCGTGCTGCGTGAGAGTGAGCCTTTCGCGTCATCTTGGCTGACGCGCGCTGCCCAGGATTGGTCACAGTAATGAACTGCATACTAAAAGAGATTGAAGCGTGCATTAAAAAAATCGATATCAATTATCGACTGTCTGTCACGATCAGAGATGCTTTTGAGCAATGTGTTTACAACGATGCTTAATAATTCACAATTTCATGCCAAGAAGTGCTCCTACTCTATTGAGCCTAGTTTAATCAAACTAACTACATATGGTAAGAGACCTCATCACCAGCCTCCTCGTACACGGCGTTAAGAGCAGCAGCAACTTCTTCAGGCAGCGGCCCCTCCTCAACCGTATCAACATTGCTCTCGAGCTGTTGGGGGCTAGATGCACCGATGATCAGTCCGTCCCCATATTTCTTGTCGAGAATACTGTGATACGCCGTCCATCTGAGGGCTGCAGCATGCCCTTCAATGTTATGCTTAGCGAACACTTCAATGGCCTTGTCGACAGCTCCAAGAACGGATGGCTTGATGTAGAGCAAATTAGTGATACTTCCTGATTTATGCTACCGTATATCAGTCATGTATTTGGAAGAAAGTTTATCCAGGATTTCTACTCACTGCCGGGTCAAATCGTCCATTTGGAACAGGATTTTTATGACTTCCAGAAAAGAGACCGCCAGCAGCAGGACTATAGGCATAAAATGCCATGCCATTCTTTCGAAGAACGGGGAATAGATCTTTCTCGCCGGCGCGAACAAGTGCGTTATAGTGACCCTGATAAACAGCAGGCTTGACAAAACCTCTCTTTTCACAAATATCAATCACTTCTTGAACTTCATCGGCTCGGAAGTTGGAGATGCCCCAAGTCTTGATCTTGCCATCTTTATGGGCCGTGCTGAGAGCTTCAAGAGCTGGCTCAATCGGGTTATTGCGATCAGGTATGTGAAGATAATAGACATTGATCTGGTTGATCTTCAGGAGCTTGAGTGAATTGTCGATATCATGAGTGATGTTCTCCTTGGTATGGCCCTTCATGAAATCTGCTTTGGTGTCAATACTGAATCGCTCGCCTGCGTTGACGGCACCGAGGCGAGGCTCAGAGCTATAAGGGGCCTGGGGTGAATAGACTGCAGCAGTGTCGATCTGAGTGTAGCCTCGTCTGGCGAGGGCATTGATGAAGGCGTTGACTTCATCTGGAGTATCGTAGCGAGCCCAAGGGTCAGCTTCCTTGTCTCCGACCTGCACGAGTTTTTGGTCAGTTTTAATTCAATCAAGAACATCCAACTACTCACGTTTGCGGCTCCGAGAATCAGCTTGAGAGGTGATTTTCCAGCGGAAGTCATGATGTCTTGCTTTGGCAGTGAAATTGAGTATAAGTGATAAGATGTGAATGATAGAATGAGGAATTGGAGACTATTAAAGTAACATGCTGGATTTATATACTGCTTGAAAGCGAATATGTCGTTACCAGACTTCAATTTTGTAAATCTGCCAAGAAGTGCTCTTGCCAATTACGGAAAGAGCCAGAACGATGTTCTGGAGCTTTGATTCGCCCGAACCGACTTTGCCAAGACATGCAGTTTCCTACTGGGGAATATGCTGAAGCCTCATGTCTAGCCCTCGGCTTCGATATGACGGAGGAAGCCCAAGAAGAGGCATTTGTAATGCGGACTTTGAGCGGATTACATTACAAATCACACCGTAGGCGCAGAAGCACTAGACTTGAGGTCGTAAATACCATTTGTTGTGTCAGTATCCAATTTAGAACTCGGGTCTGAGATGACACTAAGCTACATAGTTGGCCTCCATCCAGCCGCCATCAACGTATATCTCCTGCTTTGTCATGAACCTACTCTCATCTCCCAGTAAGAAAGCGATGGAGGCAGCAATCTCCTCCGGCTTGGAGTAGCGCTTGATGATTGACGTCAAGTGATCGCCCTCCGTCATCGTCCATGTACCTGCACCGTTGGGCAAGTGTAGAGGCTGACGGATCATATCGGTATCAATACATCCTCTGCCATATATGTAAGTTAGTGGTTGGCGTCTCATGGGAGATCACTCACGGGCATAGAAGGTTGACTCTGATGGGGTTTTTGGGGTACTTGGCACCACCTTCATATGCAGCTGATTGACTCAAGCCGCGGATGGCGTTCTTTGACGCTGCGTATGCTCCCATATTTCCAGAAGCATACTTGACCTGTTGGCTGCCACAGTTGACGATGCTGCCTCCAGGTTTCATGTTCTTCATCTCGTACTTGATACTGTTGAAGGTGCCGATGACATTCACATCGAGAACTTCCTTCAGCTCCCCGAGTTCAAGGTCTTCAATGGGGTGAATGCATTTGTTCATCTTGGCTATCAAACGGCTTAGCATGTGTCTTTCACCAGGTATCAAAAGCTAATCATCCTACCTGCAACATTTGCAGCACCGTCCAGCTCTCCCCACTTGGCAACAGTCCCTTCAATCCATGCTTTTACATCATCAGGGTTCCTGACATCTGTGGGAAAATAGATGACCCGATCCTTGGCATCAGGGATATCCTGCTCGATACCAGCAACGGCTTTCTTCAGATTCTCCTCCGAAGTAGCAGCCATAGAAACCTTGGCTCCCCGAACCAAAAGGTAGCGCGAGAGGGACAGGCCTGTCCCGCGACTTGCGCCAGAGACAACAATGACCTTGTCTTGGAAAGGGTACGGGTTTGCCATTCTTAGCGTTGTAAAAAGAAAAACCAATATTAGAAATGCAACATGTAAGGGAATGGAGTATCGGCTGCCATTGTTTACTGGGTAGACTATATAGGGGACCCCGTATGCCTCTCAAGCAAGCCAAGCGCCAAGCTTTTGAGTGGTCCTGGAGGGCGACTGAGTGATAATTAAAAGACGACCAGGAACAGAAGAAGCTGCCAATATCTTGGAATGGAGCACTTAAAATGGAGCTTCTTGAGTCGTAGGAGATGGTCAACAGGGAAGATACTGAGTCGTTGCGTTATCCCTTTCCCCGAGGGAATATAGCGCCCAATAGGATAGAAGCGATCATCACATAGTGTTGCATCGTCTAATGATCCCACAACAAAACCGTTTCAAAAAGGGGGGCTGCCTTGGTACTGGCTGACTGGGTCTTGATCCCTACAGCAGAACCGGCTGAGTTACATTGTGTAGGCGAGAAATCTGAACATTACAAGGAACGACTCGAAGGATTGAACAACTCATGCACCCTGACCAATCCCAGTTATGCATGACGTGGGTCTGCAAGAGGGGAAACAAAGCTCTTAACCTCTCGTTTCTTTTTCCTCTTGAGTTTCTTCAAAGGCGCCAAACGAAACCTGTACGAGAATTTTATTACCGTTAGCGTCAACGGGAGGTAACGGTCTGCCTAACCTCCAACGGTCCAGTCCGTGATTCTCGTTTCTAGTGCTGCTTCTGAGGACTTTAGCAACGGAGCGAAAATAAGATTTGTGGGCTGACGTGGATCTCCTGACAAGGATCCCTGACAAGGATCAGATCCTTATTCCAGGACGTGGAGACTGATGTTTTCTCTCTTCACATGATTTTTTAGGAAAGATACAGGGGCTAAGAGAGGTCCTCCCCGGCGAATGAGAAAAGAGAAAGAAGGTCAGATCACTAAACAGTGAAAGTGACAAAAGAAAGTAAAGTGACATATCGTCTAACACAGTGGGACTGCAGGAGCTGGAAATTTGATATCAACGTCGCTGATGAGGAGACCCGATGGAAAAACTCCAACGGAGTTTGGTAATCGTTGCAATATGCTGCGATGTTGTGTCGGATGAATATTGCTGAGTATTGCGCCACAGGCCTCCTTACAGATCAAGATGTTCTGTCCCAGCCCAGTGGCCTGGATACGCAAGGGATTTCAGCCCTGTTGTTCCTGAAGCAAGCCCCATATATAATAACGGATAAAGAGCACGCTACAGAAGTGATCTGCAGCCGTTGGATCATGTTTGCGAAAATCATGGGCTAGCATTGAGATAATGCTGGTCAGTGGCCTTGGCCCGGTGCAAGGAACGTATCATGATGCTTTACGGCTCATTGCCCGGAATCCTACCAATAAAGAGGTCCGGCATATTATTCAGAGATTCGTAGGTCATGCATTTGTTGTCAATGTGGATCTCGTATCAGACAAAGCAAAACCTCTAGGTCGGAAACCGCCAATGCCGAGCTGGTTGCCCTGAAGACGGTTGCAATTAGCCCATTTTCCTTTCTTTATCAAGCGAATTGCATCTCTAGCCATTGAAAACTTGGTGAAGAAAAAGGAATAACTGGTTGGCTGGACGTTTCTCGGGCAAAAGTGCCAAAGCTTGGGTGCAGAGGGTCTTTCGTGGCTCCTCACTGGTATTGAACCGTAGGTCGTAGTGGCAAGTGAGACGCTCGAGTTCTGAGGAGGCTCTAAGGCTCTAATTCCTAGCACAAAATCCTTCGCCAGGCCCCCAGCACTGACAGCTGTCTTGTTGCCTCGGGTGCGTAACGGGAAGATCATCCTTGATGAACAGCAGTGGAGCCATTGCAGACAAAAAAGAAAGCTCCTGATAACGTCCGCGGTTGAAACAGAATAAGAAATAAGCTTGCAGATCTCCCGATTTCCAATTAGATTAACATTCACGCACCTCGCAGCTGAAAATTGTTGATTTAATGCTGCATACATCGCCCTGACCCAACTTGACTTCACTCCACGATCAACCCATACTGTTACGGTCGAGTCGCAAATCGCCATGGCCGAGGAGGTGTATATGATGGAGCCACCCAAGGGGCAGGACAGGTGGGAAGCTGGAAGTGCTGCCACTATACAGATCATTTTGGGTGCTTGTCTGTTCACGCTTGGAACGGTCGTTTATGGACTCCGGATCTTGACCAGAGTACGGCTACTCAAGAATCCTCTTCGTCTTGACGACTGTATGTTTCGACTTTCATCTCTGGGGTTCAGTAGAGCTAACCTCATACTCAGTCCTCACTGGCGCTTCGCTTATAGCATGTTGGGTCTTTTATGCATGCACCATGGGCAGTAAGTCGTCCCATTCCTATCAACACATACATACTCACAAAGACAGTGGTTGCCCAGGGAGGCTGTGCTACCAACTTCTGGCAGGTGACTCAATCGCAATACGAATCATTGCTCAAAGTACGTTTTCGAATTCACATATTGATCTTCGAGATGACTGACGTCTTGTAGTGGACTATCCCCGTCAACATCTTCTACATGTTGTCTTCCGATCTCGCCAAAATCTCTCTTCTCTTTTTCTATCTCCGCCTCTCACCCGAACGAACCTTCCGCATCGTCATCTACGTCCTGATCAGCCTCTTTGGTCTTTATGCCCTCATCTACGCTATGATTAGCCTTTTTGGCTGCCAGCCCATCAAGGCTTCGTGGGACCTTGCCGCTCAAGCGACGGGCAAATGTGTGGACAAGTTCGGCTTCTTCTTGGCTGCGTCGGTTGCCAACGTAGTCATGGATCTGGTAATTTTGCTGCTGCCGTTGCGGATTGTCATCCCGCTACAGATTCCTCGTCGACAGAAGATGTCACTTCTGTTTCTGTTCACTACTGGTGGCTTGTGAGTAACCTTCCCTGTATCACTTGATTAACATACTGACATCTCAAGTGTCATCATCGTAGCCGTCTACAATTGTGTTCTTACTGTCAAGCTATTCAGCAGCCCCAACTACACCTGGGGCCTTGCATACGAACTCTGCTGGATGTACGCTGAGTTGACTGGTTGTGTCATATGTGCATCTGCCAGCTCTCTCAAACCATTCTTCAAGCGAATCCTACCCAAAATTTTCAGCAGTCACGGCGCCAGCTACGGTGGACCCTCTGGAGCAACAGGCGGATCCAATGCCATCAAGAGCCGAAGGCAGTTAAGTCGCAAGCAAGCTGATGCCATCGAACTCCAATCTGGAGATGACTCCGAGTCAGGTAGAAAGGTTACCGATGACGATGAAGCTACACTCTGGCCCAAGCCACAGCAAAGCTTCGACAATGGCAATCACCAAGTCTTGGTGACTGCGCCAGGAGTAGGTTCTGGTGTTGCAGGTTCACGTAGAAGCAACTCCCGTTACCACAGAAACGGTAAAGCTGATGGCATCGAGATTATTTCAACAACGGAGGTTATGTACAGTCCTAGGTAGAAAAAAAATAGAGTTTCCTTTGATCATAATAGAGTCTTATCGAGCAACATCACCGAAAAGAAAAGCATGGAAACTGACTGATCAATGAAGGTCTACTACCCATGACACGCTATCGCATGGGTGTGTACCCAGAATATCTAAAGACCCTTCCAGAAGAAAGTCTTGGGCAAGATGAATTCCGCGCGTGCAATCTCATCCTTGGGA